GCCTGCTGGACAAGGAGGAGGAGGAGGAGGCGGCGGCAGCGGTCGAAATAACAGGAGTGGGTGGGCTAATTAATTTTGTTGACCCCTTTCCCTGTGCAACAGGCACGCACACGGGCAAAAAGTGGCCGTTGAAGTTGAAAATACCTGTTTTAGGGTTGCTGTTGCTGCTGCTGTTAACATGGATGACGAGGACGGGAGAGAGTGTAGTCGCACGTGCGAAAAAACAAGGCTGGGACTAGCGAAAGTATAGCATTTGAAAGACACGCGAGCATCCGCGCGACCCTCCTGGGGTTTGCTAAAAGCGACTGCTAGAGAGAGACTGGGCGTGGACACAGTTACGCTGTTGTTAGTATGTGTGGACCAAAATGGCGGACAAATTGAGCCTCTGAAGACCTAATGAATTAAAACATGAAAAAAAACGTCCAGGATCAGGCGGAGACACTGCCTTGGCTTTCACAGTGAGAGTGGCTACTTGTTTCAGACGCATTAGCGACTGCTGAAAGGGTGGTATCAAAAGCGAACCAACTTTTGGGTCGGAATCGTTTACATGTCCCATCCCCATAAATTCCATGCAGGACAAGTAATACTCTACTCTAACCGTAACAGCACGTGAGCACTAACCTAACGCCAACCCTCACCTTAATGTCCTTGAAATATAGTGCAAAGTCGCCTGCTTTACGGATGGTTCCTCTACTCGTTTCCTGCCGGAAGGGGGAGGGGGGCATCTAAGCAACGCCTATGCTTTTTATGTAGGAACCGCTGAACTGACTTATTTACTCCTCCGTGTCACTTATTTCGTGCTGCGTTCGATTGAAATTGGGCTTCCTTTTAATCGATAGTCTCATGCGCACGCACGATAATCAATGAATTAAACAAAAATGGAACAAACAGCCTTCCAGTGGGGGGGAGGGGCGGCAACCACCACCGTCATAAAAAGCAAAAATTCGACCACTGCCCCCACTCTCCCCGCCGTGATAACCAGTAACTAGAAGTCTACAGCCGAAGGTTACTTAACCAACTAGACCCGTGGCGGTGAGACAGTGCAGGAGCAGATACTGGGAGTGCTGCGGTGTGTCAAATATCGGATAAGAAGTCTCAAGGTGGTTTTTAGGGGCACTCAACAGCAGAGAGAATTTGATCTTCGTGAAGACAACCTTGAAAGCGAAAACAGTTTGCAGTCTACAAGGACACGTGCAAACACATGCGCCTGCTCATAAACTTCCTCAAATCTACCTGTCACGCACGCATTGTTACTGTCAGCATTTCAGTCGGGTGCGCTGAGGCATGAACATTAAGAGATGTAGCTTGGGCTTCAGCCCCGGAGGGGGAATGGCAGGTGTGACAGTGATAATGGATTAGAGAAGGAAGCTACCGTTACAAAA